TGGAGGGGCCCCGGGCCGGCCGGCCGGGCCAGCCAGGCGGACAGTGAAGGACGAGGATCGCTCTGAGGCCGGGCGAGGGCCCAGCCGAGGCCGGGTGTTTACACGCGCGCTCCTCTGTTTGGGGCCTGCAAATCCGTGTCAGATGTTAATGGAACAGCGTCATTTTTCTGCCGAGGTGGCACCCAGGGTTGTTTGGATGAGGCCGCCCGGGGCTCAGCCTGGGGAAGGCCGGGGTGGGTGGAGGGCGGCCTGCAGAGAGGCCATTTGTCAGCTGCACCCGACAGCCGGGGCTGGCTCCCCAGCAATGTCACCCCTCCACCAGGTCCCCCCTCACCCACAGCCCACCATCCTGTGCACCCCTCTCTGGGGACCAAAAGCTGGGTCCTGAGAAAAGATAAAGGATTCACCTCAGAACTGTAGCAGGAACCTGAAAACCGGGAACGAGACGATGTTTTATCCAGCTGAGCACACATATAGAGGGCCACAGCCCAGGCCCCGGCCCTGGTGCAGGAGGCCCACCGGGCATGTGGGCTCCAGGCCGAGGGTGTGGCCTGCACCTGCAGCTCATGCAGCTTTCCGGCCAGGTCCGGCCAGGTTCTGCTGGCTGCCCTCAGTTCTGCAGACCATCACAGACCATCACAGGTCTGTTCCCCTCCCCTCTGGTGCAAGAAGAACTATAGAGGGAGAGGTCCAGAGAGGGAACATGAGCTCTCCAAGGTCACACAGCAAGCTGGGGATTCCTGGGAGTGACTCGAGGAGGAGGAGTTGACCCAGAAACACGTCTGTGTGAGGTCAAGGCCTTCATCCTTCGGCAGATAGAAAGACCAAGGAGGCCCCTGGGGCTGCACAGCAGAGCTAGGCAGAGGCCCCCCGGGCTGTGCAAAGCAGGCTGGGCCAGGGCTGTGAGGGGGTAAGATTCCTGGGACCCCAACCTGGCCCTCACCCTGCCCTGTGGCCTTCTGGGTCTTCCCCAGCAGGCCTGCCTCTTGCCCCAGGGCCTTTGCACAAGACAGCTTCCTGTGTGGACCATTCAGGGGACCTAGTGTTCCTGGGACCCCAACCAGCCATCCTCTGCTGAGAGATCTCCCAGCCCAGGGTGATCAGTGAGCCCAGCCCATGACCCACCCTTCTCCGGTCTCTGGGTAGAGGCTGAGGGAGTGTGGGGGTGCTCAGCCAGTGTGTGGACACTCCTGGGGCCCTGGCCGGCATATCCCAGACACTCAGGAACTGACTGGGCCCATTGCAGCCCCGTGGTGACTGCAGGAAACCCCTGCGGTGTAAGCCTGACTCTGAGGCCTCCCCTCTGAATGTCTCCCTCTCTCTCCAGAGTCAGAGTTAAAGAGGGGAAGACAGAAAGAGAATGATCTTCTATCCCCTGGTTCACTCTCTAGATGGCCCCAACACCCAAAGCTGAGCCAGGCTGAAGCCAGGAGCCAGGAGCTTCGTCCAGGTCTCCCACATGAGACACTGGGCCTAAGCACTTGAGCCATCTTCTGTATCTCTTCCCAGGCCATGAGCAGGCAGCTGGACTGGAAGTGGAGCAGCCAAGGCAACAAAGCAGTGCCCACAGGGGGTGCCGGGGCGGCAGGCAGCCGCTGCTGTGTCTCTGTTCTCGTGGGGAGTTGTTCCTGAGGGTGCTGCTGTCAAAGAGGCTGGGAACAGAGCGGAGATTTCAGAATCAGCATCGCTCTTTCAAACCCTGGGTGGTGAATTCTCTCCTCTCCTTCCCACACCCAGGACCAGGCAAGAGGAGGCAGAGGCTGTTAGAGCCACATGTCCCAGACAAGCCTGCCTCAGTGTCCCCCCAAACTGGGTTCCCTGGTCAGAGCTGTGCGGTGTCTGGGGAAGGCAAAGGCAGGTGCCTGGAGGCAGGGCGTGATGGAGGGGAGCCTGGGGGTACCTGCCACCAGGCTCCAGCCAGCCTCACGCTGGGGTGCTTCTCCCCACCCCAGGCCCTATGCACCTGTGCTGCTTCTTCTGTGGGCCCCCACCATCTGCACAGGGGCCTCTTCCTCACCCAAAGCCTAGGACCTGGACTTCCTACTCTTCCAGCCATCAGACTCAAGGCCCGATGACATCAGTAAAATAGAGCCCTCTGTCACGGGCTAGGTGCTTAAAACAGATAATAATAAGTGATTTCATTTTAATGTCTCCCAGCTTGTAGCCCGCTTTTAAGTTCATTTTTCTGGCCCACAAGGCTCTGTGTCCCAGCCCCAGGCACTTAACCATCTGTGGCCTTGTTCCCGGCCCTGCCCTGCCCCCTGGTGGTTGTTCTGGGAAGTGCCCCTCTGACTCCCAAGTTTGGCCCTTAGAAGCCCACCGCAGTCAAACACAGCTTCTGGCCCTGGGGGACTGGGCAGCCTGGGTCCTGTAGAGCAGACAGGACAGTCCACACTGCTGAGCTCCCTGGCAGGCAAGGGGAGAATGGACACATGGAAAGGGGTTCATGACCCATCTGCCACATGCTGCATCCCTGAGGGCCGATACCCTCTGCCTGCATGCTGCAGCATCCCATGGCGCCGGCCCCAGTCACGCCTCATCTCCAAGGAGCTGCTTTGGTTTTCCTTACCCCCCGAGGCATCACCCACACAGCACCACTGGGGGCTGTGAGAACTTGCACCTCCTCTGAGCCTTGGTGGGAAGTGGACTAGGCCGCCTTCCTCGCACAGCTTCTCCACCATGCTGGGCACTCAGGAGCCAACTGTCGCATCTAAGTGGAGCTTGGGAAGCCGTGTGCCTGCACTAGACCCACTGCTCAGGCAGATAGATGGAGTTGCAGGAAGAAGCAACCCCCCAAACTTCCAAAGCCAGCACAAGACCCTGTTCCTGGAAATGCCCTGGGCAGCTCGTCTAGTAAGGGGATCAGGCAGGACCCAGCCGGCTTCCAGGGCATCCACCGTGCTGCCCCAGCAGGGTGCAGCGGTGATGGTAAGTGTGGGTGTTCTGGCACACAGCACTGTGCTCCAGGGCAGGCTGAGGGGCCAGAGGGTCCTGGATGTATCCTATGGGGCAGCCAGGCTGGAGGGAACAGCTTTCAGTTAAGGCTGCTAGTGGCCGTCACCTTGGCCTGCGCACACTAAGAGATCTAATGGGTATCTGATGGCAGGAGGGGAGCCCAGAGGACAAGTCCAAGAACTGCAGGTGGTGGGTTCCCAGAAGCGTATGATAAAAGGGTCCAGACCATCTCCAAGAACAGCTTTCAATGAGCAGCGAAGTCTGTGGACAGAGCCATGGCCTTGGGGTGCCCATCTCCCCACTGTCAGGGGTCTATCAGATCCACGAACACAGCCAGGACCTCCACCCTTCCCGCTACAGGCACACACGTTTAAGGCCATGAGCCACAGGCTGGCACGATGCTAGGCAGGATCAAGCCCTGGGTCTTAGGAAGGCCGAGAGCGCTGCCCCTGAACATTCCAGGGCCCAGGAACCTCAGCTCCAGGTGCTGCTCGCCTCCCAGTGATGCTGAGGTGGGAGTGAACCGCAAAGCACAGACGGGATAGTCCTAAGGTTGCCAGGTTAGCCTGAACGTGGCAAGGCGGTTCAGTCCGGTACATTTCCTGGGGGAGGTCTGCCTGAGGGCATTGAGAAGCCCCCACCCCTCATTTCCAGAGGACAGGCCAAGGGCCACCCAGCGGGGCCCAGGCCACAGGACCACTTGGGCTCACTGTGGCAGGGTGGGGGTTGCTCCCCTGAGCAAACCCAAGCTCCAACAAGGCACCGACATGGTGGGGCAGTGCGGTGGGGTTTTGTGCTGCCCAGCCAGCCACTTCCAGAAACACAGCCAGCAGGGCAGCATAGTGAGGCTCCCTGTCCTTGGCCTCCTCCCGGGAACCTGGCTTGGTAGGGTGGGGGGCACAGCACCCCCTGCTGCACCAGCCAGTCCAGCCATCAGCGGAATCCCACCCGGAGTCAATGCCCCAATGGCCCTCAGTTCTGAGGTCACTGCAACAGAACCAGGCCCACGTGGGTCCCAGGAGCCTGCCCACTGCACAAAACAGTCACCTAGTCCCTTTGCCAGGGAGTTCCCCTTGTCCTGTCTCCATGATGGTGACGGCTGCTTCTGTGGGCCTGGTGGGAAGAAGCCTGCAGCTATCTTTTAGAGGTCCTGCCCCAGATGGAGGTGGGAGCAGCTCTGTGTGCTTGAATCAGCCAAGCTAGGCGCCTCTAAGAAAGATTCCAGAGGTCCCCCTGAGGACACCTGCAGGGCTGAGTTAGGCAAAGCCAGCATCTCAAAGGCAGCCCAGGCCTAGTGGCCCCAAGGGTCTCTCCTGCCTCCTCCTAGCAAGCTCATGGCTCTACCCCCCTGGGGCGCCCCACCCTGCCCTGACCCCTGGGTGCTCCACCCCAACCCCTGGGGTGCTCCACGCCCCCGGGGTCTCTGCCCTGGCTCCTGGGTGCTCCACCACGCCCCCCCCCCCAGTGCTCTGCCCTGACCCCTGGGTGCTCTACCACACCCCCTGGGTGCTCCACGCCCCCGGGGTCTCTGCCCTGACCCCTGGGTGCTCCACCCCATCCTCTGGGGTGCTCCACCAACCCCCCTGGGGTGCTCCACCACACCCTCCCCCCCACCCCTGTGCTTTGCCCTGACCCCTGGGTGCTCCACTCCATCCCTGGGTGCTCCACCACGCCCCCTGGGGTGCTCCACCACGCCCCCCTGGGTGCTCCACCACGCCCCCCTGGGGTGCTCCACCACGCCCCCCTGGGTGCTCCACCACGCCCCCCGGGTGCTCTGCCCTGATCCCTAGGATGCTCCACCACGCTCCCCTGGGTGCTCCGCCTCTCCATCTCCCCCTCTCCCCCCACCTCTCCAGAAGGAACGGTGACAGTCCAGGCCTCCAGGTCACCCTCCCCACCATCCTCCCCACAACAGTGGACGAGGGCCAACAAGGCAGAGATGACACAGACAGGGTTCTGTACAAAACCTGAAATCTTTTTACTTTTTTAAAACTTTGGTCTAAGTTGCCTTAGACCCCATGGACTCGATACGAGAGTAATATGAATCAGGAAATAAAACACTTTAATAGCCACGATAAACTTTGTTAGAAATGTACATGTTGCCAAAATAATAATAATAAAATTAAAAAAAGAGAGAGAGAGAGAGAGAACAGCTTGGTACCGGGTTAGATTATATAAATGTTTGACAAGCACAGGGGCCCCGAGGGGAGTAAGCGTGGGACCCCGTGAGCCTCCCCTCTCCCAGGTTTGGGCCCTGGGGACCGCGTCCCTCCCCTGTTCACAGGAGAAGCCGGGGGTGGGGGAGAAGGCCTCCGCCAAGCTGCTGCTCCCCATGGACAGAACCTCCAGGTAATGGGTATATAAACAAAGCTCATAAGAAATGTACAAATATAAAAAGCTACAAACATTAATAAATTACAGCATCACAAAACACAGAAACACTTCACAAGGTGCTAGTAAAACAACTGCATCCCCTAACCCCTCATCATACAAGGACAAAGAGCTGGTGTCAGGGTTGAAGGGTCATCTTCTTCAAGACGCCTCTGCGACGGCCCCGTGGCACGCGACTCGCCCTGCGGGACCGAGCGGGAGGCTGCACGGACAGCACTTGTTTATCAGGCAATACCTTAGTTCCTAAAAGAAAGCAACAGCAACGGTAACACAAGGAAAGCAAGAGAAGGGCGAAGCATCGGAACCCGACCGTCCATCCGACTCGGCCACCCACGAACTCGTAGAAGTGTTAATGAAGGACCCTCTAGAAAGAAATCCTTAAAGATAACTTTTACTCTTGTAAAAAAGAAGTCATTTAAAAAGCTATTTACACGCTACATTCTATGAAAAATATGCTTCAGGAAATACATCTAAAATTAAAATACAGGATTGCCTGAGAAACAAACCCGGCCCCTGTGTGTGACGATGGGCAGACACGGCCATCCAGGGACGGCCCACGCTCGCGACACTACACGCACGCACGCACGCACACGCGTGCCCGTCCGAGTGTCCCGGGGCTGCTGGCCGGCCCCACCAGCCGCCAGGGCAGCGTTCTGACCATCAAGTGCTTCTCGGGAGCGTGGCTGGGCAGGGCTAGAGCTAGGGCCCCTCCACGTGGCTTAGCCGGGGCCCCCAGGACCCAAAGACGTGACCGAGGCCCTGTCCTTCCCACACGGCTCCCCAGCTCTGACACACCGACCTGGTTGTCAATCCTGGCTGTTCCCCTAACAGACGCCCTCTGGCCACCCACCACACGGCTCGCCATCCGCCAGCCAGGGAGGGAGGCTCATCCACACCCCGGCCGCTCCTCGTCTTCCTCTCTGTGTCCTTGGCCTTGTTTTAAGCCTCTGGAGGCTACTAGCCTGTGGCCAGCTCAGACTCTTGGGGCGGTGAGCATTGGCTCACTCTGCCTTCCTGGAAGGCCTCGTACTCCCAGCAGAGCTGCGGAGGCCCCCACCATCACACCCATGCTCCTGGGGTGCCTGGATGCTGTCCTGAAACTGGAATGGTCGCCAGTGTGGCAGGGCTGCTCCTTCAGGATCTGGTCACGCTAAGCAACTTGAGGAAGGACATTCAAGTCCAAACCGAGGGATGGCCGTGCTCAGCCCATTTCGCCTGCTCAAGGACAGGCGCTCGTCTGGGGGAGCTGGTGGCTGGGAGGAAGCAGGATCCTCCCCGGGCGAGGCAACTTGGCCACCCTCCTGGGGGTGGGGCGGGGTGGGGGGCGAAGTTTTGGCGGGGCTCCGGGGGTCCTGAGCGGAGCAGAAAGATCCTGGCTTTCCAAACTTTAAAGGAGCAGTTTTCCATTCCGATGAATTTTCAAAATTTTCCCCAGCCTCTGTTTGGCAGTAGCCATGCCCTTTTTTGTACGTTTTCCTAAGGAGAGATGAGAGGGAAAGGTGAGTGTGGGGCAACGGTTCGCAGCACCTCCCCTACGCCCTTGCCTCTCCCCGGAGCACCGGTTCCAAGCCCCTGCCAAGCAGGAGCCCCTCCCAGGCAGGAACCCCAAGCAGCCATGTCAGAGGCTGCACCTCCAAGGATCACGACCCCGTGGGAGCCTTCCCACAACACCCCAGGCCCGGGCCACACGGCTGGCTGCAGCCACGCCAGCAACCATGCAAAGCTTCTGTCCTCAGAGGCAGCGGGGCCACAGCTCAGGGGCAGGCGGTGGTGGTGGGAGCTGAGCACGCCTCGGGAAGGCAGGAGGGGTCAGCCAGGGCTCTCCCTCTATCCACAGCCCACACCAAGGGCTCAGGGAACGCGGCTCACCTAGGCCGCTCCCGGCTGGCCGGACCCGGCTGTCAGGCCCCTAGAGCTGTGTGGCTGCAGTGTCCTCTCCCCAGGAAGGGCACGCAGAGGCTCGGTGCCAACCAGCTAAGACCACGCATCTTGGTGGCCATGAGCCCCCCCGGCCCCTAGCAGGATGGTACCTTTGGCAGTGGTGTTGTTGTTGTTGGGGGATGAGGCCGAGGGCCGCCTCTGGCTGAGAAAGACGCCAGGCGCCATGGGCTGGGAGGCCCGGCCACCCTGGGTCCCAGCGAAGGCGCCGGCCGCCGTGTACTCGTGGTCGGTGAGGCTGCTGCTGTGAGACTCAGGCGGGGGCTCAGGGGAGCTGCCCTCCTGCGAGGCCTGGCTGCTAGCTGTGCTGGTAGAGGCCGGCGTGGTGGAGGCTGGTGTGGTGGAGGCCGGTGTGGTGGAGGCTGACGTGGTAGAGGCTGGTGTGGTGGAGGCCAGCGTGGTGGAGGCGGAGGTGGAGGTGGAGGCCGCACTGGGAGTCAGCCTCCTCTTGGTGCTCTTCTTCTTCCTGCTTTTCTGCTCCTCCTTGAATCAAGGCGTGCAGGCACGTTAGCTGCCGGAAGCCTCACACATCCCCCAGCACCATCACTCGGGCCACAGAGCAGGAGCCGCTGACGCAGCTGCTGTCCTCCCTCTCAGCCGACAGCCCTTCCAGGAGCGGACCCACGGGCGGTGGGCAGGCAGGCACAGGCCTCATTTTCCTGCGTCCCACGTGCGGCCAGGACATGCCTGCCTCCTTCCCACCCTTAACCCCACCCCAGGTTCCCCTCCCTGGCCTGTCACCCCCGGCCCCTGCTGCAGGTTCAGTCAGCCTCAGGCCTATTCTGGTGGCCATGGCCTTCCACAGCCAGAAGGGGTGCCTGAGGCTTGGGACACTCCCTCTCCGAGCAGCAAGGACCCAAAGGTGGCACAGTGAGAGAAGAACACAGTGATTTGCCCTCAAATCACCATCTCCTGCTCGGGGCCCGGGGAGGCTGGCTGGCTGCTGCCCACATGCCCAGGGGGACCCTCCCAGAGGTAAGGGGTGTGCAGAGGCCTGCAGCAGCCCACCCCCTGCAAGAGGCCCTTGTCCAGCCTCAGCAGTCAAGACCAGCAATTCTGGCTCCTTGCTCCCCACTCACAGCGAGACAAATGGGCCACGATGTCAATCAGACATCCCGAAGTTGGCAATAGCCCCTCAACCTGGGAGGTCCACGCTTGGGGCTGGAAGGTCAGAGTCATCTGGGCAGCCAGAGCCTCAGGTAGTTATGGTAGGGCCTGGCCACTGTGCACCCCTCCCTCAGCACCGTCTCACCTGCTGGGACAGCTTGGCTGCAGCGGCTGCCAACCCAGTCTCGATAGAGGCCACTCGGGTCCCCTCGCGCACTGGCCTGTCCTGTCTCGGCACTGACGGGCCAACCCTCGCTGCGGAAGAGAAGAGAGAAGCTCCCTCAAGCTACCAGCCACGGCCCTTCCACTCCGCTGGCCTGTCCTACTTCTCTCTCTCTCTTTCTCTCTTTCTCTCTTTCTCCAGAGCAGAAGCCATCACAGCCTGGGCACCCAGAGGCCCAGCGAGATGGAGAAGGCAGACTCTGAGTGCCATGGGCCAGGTGGCTAGGGCCACACCCCACTGGACACCCTGGGGTCGGGGTGTGGGACACAGGCACACAGCTACATCTCAGTGTGACTCTTCAGTGAGGAAGGAGGGGCAGGAACCGGCCTATGGCTTCTGGGCGAGGCCCCCTGAGGGGTGAGGCAGAGCCCACCACATGCCCACAGCCGCAGCTCCTCCCTGGGGCATGTTAGGGGCCCGGTTGGACAGGCATCCTCAGGGGCCACAGGGACCACAGACTGATGACACCTGGCACGCCTGGCATACTACCTGTAGGGCTGTAGGGGGCGTCGTCCGAGCCTTTCCTCTTCTTTGACCGGGACTTGAAGACGGGGTTGTCTTCATCCGACTCCAGCGAGGGGTAAACTGGAGGAGGCAAGGGGAGGGTAGAAGCTGAGCCATGGCACGAGGTACAGCCTGCTGGAAGGGCTGCAAGCGCCCGCACCCCTTCCTGAGCAGCAGCCCCAGGCCTGTGCACAGGGCCCATGGCTGCGGGCTAACCGCTGCCAGCCCACAACACAGGCAGGGTGGCCGAGCCTTGCCATGGGGATACCTGCCCACAAAGCTGGGGCCCAGAGGCTTGCCCTCAGAGGTGGCTGCGGGGCACAGGGAGGCCGAGCCCCAGACACGTGGGGGTCCTAGGAAAAGATCGTATGTAGGCAACAGTCCCTGTGGCCGACAGAGTCATCATCATGTTTCATAGCCACAGAGAGCAGGCAGCCGGCAGTGAGCAGCTTCAACAGAGGAGGGACAGGTGTCGGGCTCACCCAGCACCCTGGGGACCCGAGGGCCATGCCCAAAATGGCCTGAAACAGAAGGTGCCTTGCCAGCGTGTTGTCAGCCCTCCCTAGGGCAGGCCCCATTACAAGGCCCAAGTTTAAACCCCAGCTGTGGGACAGGGTCAGCAGAAAGAGTCTCGGGAACAGTAGCATAAACACGTAGCTCTCCAGGTCACAGCAGCCTCGTTATCGCCAACAACCAGTCTCTGGCCATGATAACGAGTGCTGGAACTAAGTGAACCACAGCACACCCGGTCCTGGAACCATCCCTCCATGGCAGCAAAGGCCTCTCTCACAGCCAGAACAGCTCTCCCTGGCAGGAGCCGGCTACTCTTACGGCCTCATTTCGAGGGTGGGTCTCACTCTCTGTCTCATACAGAGGCTGGCCAGGGTGCCGGGCAGGCCCTCAGAAGGCCATGTACACAGGGGCCTGCAGCCTAGTGACCACTCACCCAGGACACAAGAGGCCCAGCCCTCACGGGATTCCCCCATGCACCAGAGTTTGTGGATAACTGCTCCTAATAGCTCAGCGTGGAGACAGCCCTAGTGCCCTCAGACGGATTAACACAATGGGTACACTCACAGCAGAGCATTCTATATGCTTAAAAAAGGAAGGGAATGAGGCTGGCCTTGTGACATAATAGGTATCCCATATGGGCGCTGGTTTGAGTTCTGGCTGTACCACTTTCAATCCAGCTTCCTGCTTATGGTCTGGGAAGGCAGCAAAGGATGGCTCAAGTGCTTGGGCCCCTGCACCCACATGGGAGACCTGGAAGAAGCTCTTGCTCCTGGCCTCAGACTGGCCCATGAGACTACTGAGGCCATTTCAGGAATAAACCAGTGGATGGAACACCAGGTAAAGGAGCAGAGTGGGAAGGATAGGGAGGGAGGAAGGGAAGGAATTCATTCTGACATCGCTGTAGCCCAGATAAACCTTGAGAACATTCTGCCAAGGAAAGTCAGCCAGCTGCAGAACATGTGTCTTAGGCTTGGTCTCCGCAGAACATGCTGCACAGGCAAACTCGTAGACAGGAGGTGGAAGAGTGGCTTGTGGGAGAGGGGTGCTAGGAGCGAGATGCTGGGCTACGGTGAGGATGCACACTGCTCCAAGTGCACTGTGGCTATGGCTGCACACGTCACTCAACACATTCACGGAGCTGTGCTCTCCCAGGACGGACACAGCCCCACCCCACCCGCCAGGACCCAGGTGAGCCCCAGAGCAGCCTGTGCTCACCGTAGTCTGAGTCCTTGAAGCAGGCATCCAGGTGGTCCTGCTCCTCCTCGTAGTCGTCCAGGTCCACGCTGTTCTTGGCCGGCCTCTTCAGCAGCCGCTTGCCTGCACTCTTGCTACTGCCGCCCCCATTCTTCCGCGCACCGTGGGCCCCCAGCGAGCTGCCCTTGGCCTGGCCGGAGCCCCATGTGGTCTGCAGGCAGGAGTCGGAGGCCTGCAGGTTGGCCATGGACAGCATTCCCTGAATGGCTTCCTGCGTGCTGGGGGAGGCTGGGGGCTGGCTGGGGGCACAGGGAGACAGGCACTCAGCCCTCGGCCCACAGCCCAGGGCACCCAGATCATAGCACTCAGCCCTCAGGCACGGCCCAGGACACCCAGACCATAACACTCAGTCCAAGGCCACAGCTCAGGGCACACAGATCAAGAACTCAGCATTCCAGCATGGCCTAGGACACCCAGGCCACAGAACTCAGCACTCGGCCACATCCTGAGCATCCAGACCACAGCACTTGGCACTGAGCCCTCAGCCAAGGCCCAGGGCACCCAGGCCATAGCACTCAGCCCTTAGCCACGACCCAGGGCACCCAGACCATAGCACTCAGCCCAAGGCCCACAAATGCATGCCTGGGCACCCAAGCAGAGGGTGCAGAGTGCTAAGGGTAGCCAAGATCTGACAACTTCCCTGTGGGAAATGGCCAGCTGTTCTCCTCCACTCAGCCACAAGGAGGGCTGGAAGCCTGGGGCAGAGACAGGCCATGGAGAGACAAGAGGTGGCCAGCGACAAAGGGGGAGAGTCAGGTCCACATGTAGTCACTTGCTGGGCTCTCCCCACCCCACCTTCCAACCAGTAAGACTCGGCCACCTGTGCCATGGCCTGCAGTGGGCCCTATGCAGTCCTGCACAGCCCCACCCACTGACACTATACCTGAACCCACAGTCACACCTGCACCCCATGCCTCTCTCCCCTGGCCATGAACCTGACCTGGGCTCCAGGCCAGGGTGCTCCCTTCCCTTACCTCCCAGGAACCCTGAAGCAGCAGCAAGGCAGCCTTGCCTGTTTGGTGGCACAGGAAAATCCCGCTTCTCTAAGCTCACGCCTGTATCTCCCTAGGGCAAGCCTGGCCGTCGCTCAGCCCAGGGCAGACCTACCCTCTGTCAGCACCACAGGCTCCTAGGCCTGCCCTCCCACTCCCCAGGGCTAATGGCCAGGCCCAAGCAGTGACAAGGAAAGCAAGTGTGGCAGCCCTCAGAGGCCCTGGGCCACGGTGCTAGAGGCCAGAGCGCAGACAGCTCACCCCACACCGCCCGCAGGGGGCCAAGACACAGGCTGGGGACGAGGGGAGGGTGGGGAAGAGGGCCTGCAGCAGGCCAGGGAAGGGACACCAGGACACCCACCACGAGGATCCCGCACCAAAGTGTGCTGCCCACCCGCCACGCCAGCTGGGTGACCTGAGGGTTGGCCCGTCTTGTCCACGCGGTCATGGGCGAATCCGTGAGCCAGTCGGCACAGAAAATAATACTCTAATCCTCCAATTATCATACCAAAATCCTCTCCTTTTCCCCTTCGCGGTAAACACTGAGCAAACCCTCCTCCAGAAATTAGCATATTTTCCTCAGCTGGTTTTTTTCTCCCCCCAAAACAGTCAGTACTTAAAACAGAGCAAATGGACCATCAAACGCCGACCGACACTCCACATAGGAGACTTGGGAGAGGAACTGCCTGCGGCGTGCGGTGGGCGTGGGTGGGGGGGGAGCTGGCTCCAGAGGCCCCGGCAGGCATGTGCGTACGTGTTTGCACGTGTGTGCGTGTGTGCGGGCACAGAGCTCACTCCTCTGCAGACAGGCCGGCCCCCTCCCAGCTCATGTTCAGAGCCCGGGATACAAGGCATAACCAGTCTTCTCACCCCTGAGCCCCGCCAGCCCCTAGGTGCCCTCATCTTGGCTGCCCTCAGATACATCCTGACCCCTCTCCATGCGTGTCAGGGGTACCTCAGGTCCCTAAGACCAGCTTGGCTCACGCCAACTTTCTATCCAAAATAGGCACACCACGGACATGTGGAGCACTGCCCAGGGAGGGCCATGGTTTCGGTGGGGGGGAGGGGACATGGCTCCATAGCCAGACTCCACCTGCCGGGCACAAGCACCTCTCTACCAGGTTGGGGATACCATCTCAAGAACACAGGAAATCTATCCCCAGGGCATGGTGGATGCCTCCGGTCATGCTCCACACCCATTCAGAGAACACCCAGGGATGGCTGGCTATGGCAGAGAATTCCATGCCAAACAGCCACTGTGAAGTAAAATTCAGCCCACTGAGTCAGCCAGTGCCCCTCTCGGTCACCCTGAGTTGACCTCACTGGAGCCCCTCTGTCATCCCAGAGTGGCCTCAGCGTACTCCCTGCAGCCCTCAGGGCTACCTGCACATCCCAGCTACAGCCCGCTGCCAGGCCCCAGGAACCCTCCCTCCCATAGCCCATGTTAGCCCATACTCTAGGAGTCCCGGGCTCGGGCTGCAGGATCATACAGAGGTTCCTGGCCTGCCTCTGCTGCCTCCATGGTGTGGCCATGGATCTCCCTAGCTGTGTAGCAGGAGTCTGCATCTGTGGAGCTGGGGTCCCCACATGCACCCAAGAGGGGCACTTGGGAAGCACACTCAGAGCTGCCTCCTTGGGCATCTGCCTGCGACACACAAGGGGAATTCCCTTGTGATTTACACATGAAAAAACCAAAGACCCAGTAAGAGAGCGGAGACTCTGAGAGGCCCTGACTGGGACGGTTCTTCTGGAATGCAATGCCAAGTGGGACAGATCCATTTCTCGGGAACCAGGCAGGCCGGGCCAGCATCTCTGCCCTCTGGGTGCCCTGCCCATGCCCCAGCCAGCCCAGCCCCTCCTGGCCCCCACCTGTTGGGGTTGTACTCGAGTGCTCCGACCTCCTCGCTGGCCTGCAGCAGGTCCAGGATGCCAGCAGCAGAGCCCCCGCTCTCCTTCTTGACTTTGGCATTGCGGCCGGGCTTGGTGTCCGTGTCGATATGCAGTGAGCCCTCATCTGACGAGTCGTCACTCTGCCATGAGGGACAGGGCAGCTGGTGAGTGGCGCTCCAAGGATGGCAGGGGACTCCGCCCTCACCCACTGACTTTCTGGAATGAGCACCACTGGGTCCTGCCGGAGCGCCCACAGCCAACAGGGCAGGCTGGCAGACACACTAGGGCAAGTGTAGAGTCCCAGCTGGCAGTGTAGAGGGTATACACCTCTCCCCAGGCAGGGTAAGACATTGCCAGGACCCCTCAGCTCCTGAGAGGTAGCCACTGGGTCTTGGCACAGGAAGTGGACCTAGAGGCCCTGGTGGGACAAGACTCCCACAGCACACAGATTCCCCAGGGACCACACAGACAGGGCTATGAGTGGCTCCTGAGAAGCTCCGCCCCGCCCCCCGCCCCCCTCCCCCAGACCCTGCTCTGCACTGCCTGGTGGACCTAGCGACCAGAGTCTCAGGCTGGGTCTCAGTCTCCCGCAACAACCCCAAGCTGGAGCCCAGCCATGACCTTTCTTTGAACCCCGAGCAAAGGAAGGGGTGAGGATGGAGGTGCCCCCATTCTTGGCTTCACAGAGGGACCCCTCAAGGGCAAGGTTGTGGGAGGTAGGGATGGGCAGAGGGAACCTGGGGCTTGGCTCACCTTGTACACCGTGGAGTCCAGCTTTGGCTTTGTGGCAGGTGTGGGTAGCACCTCCTTCTTATCCAGCAAGACTGCGAGCAGAACAGATGGGGGTCCAGCACTGACCTCTCATGGCCGTGTCCCTTCCCTCCTCTTCTCACCTCCCTCCTCAGGGGCCCTCCCCTACTCACAGGACAAGTCCCTTTTGGGGGCATTCTTCTTCCTGCGGATGGGGAACTCATCAATCTTGAGCTCTCCATCGTCCGACACGTAGTCGTACTCATCCCGCACGGGCTTGGGCTGTTCCTCCTTGAAGTTCTGCAAGGCCCCGAACACAGCAGGGCTCGTCGGGGGCCGCATGGCCTTGGAGCTAGGGCAGCGGAAGGCGGTGAGTCACTGCACGTCCTGGGGACCCCAGCCCCGGACCCAGGACCATGGCAAGGCAGGTTCACTGTGCCAGGAGAACTCAGGCCCCACTGCGGGAGTCCCAGGGACTTCTCCCCTGGGAGGGGTCACTTCCCAGTCCCACAGAGCCCCCTCTCAGGGGTCACATCCCCAGCTGTGGCCCTGACTCAACCCAAGTGGCACAGAGGAAGCCCAGACACTGTGTGTGAGAGCCTCCGTCCCTATGGCCCCATGGCCCTGATGGGTGTAGAACCCAGGCCAAGGGTGCAGAAATCCTGACAGGAGCTGAAACCAGTCTTGCATGGCTAAAGGCTCCAACCTGCCTAGTTTTTCCTGTACAGCTGTTTTACAAACAGCAAAGTCAGGGCCAGGGCCAGAGTACACACACCAATCTAAGAGCTACCTCCCAGCAAGGCTGGGCAGAGCTCCTAGAGACAGGGAGCCCACACACTTTGCCTTGGCCTCCCCAGGGGCTGCAGTACCCTCACCCTCTGGAGCATAGGGGCAGCAGGTCCCAGGCAGAAATGCCTCAGACACACACAGCTCCAGCTGGGAGCAAAGGGAGGCACAGTGCTGGACAGCACTTGGGTCAGGGCGGTGGAGCCACAGTGCACACGAACCCTGCGTGTGAGTGTGGTATCATGGCTGGAGGGCCACTTCCATCTTTCTCAGTACCGTAACTGGCCCAAGGCATTCAGAAGTTTCCCTGGGCCCCATATACAAAGCAAGGGACAATGCCCAGAACACGGAGTTGGGTGGCCATGAGGCTCTTGACGGATTGGACACACAAGTTTGGTTCCTGCTGGACAGTTGCAGGGTCCCAATCCTTGCTACCCTCTCCGGGTCCTTCTCCCTGTTTCTCCAACACCCTAAAGCAGCCTTGTTCCCCCATCTCACAAGTAAGAACTGAGGCCAGCCCAAGGAAAATGGCCACCACTCCCATTACTCAGCCCAGAGGAGCCACACTCCCATTACCCAGGTCACCCATGAGCCCTTCTCCACGGCACTTGTCACAACCATCATTTTAGGTGGATCCACCGGTATATTAGGGTCACTTCGCCCCCCTCACTGCACACCGGCCACCAACAGCCATGATCATGCCCATGTCCTCAGCATCAGCAGGCATGGTCACCCACACTCCCCTCTGCCGGGTGCTGTGCCACCCACAGGCAGCCTCCCTGCAGCCCACCGCAGCTGCTGCCCGCCCTGCAGAGAAGAGCACGGAGGATGCGCCACAGCAGCTTTCCCGGGGTCTGCAGCTGACCAAGCATCCCTGGGCACAGACCCTGGAGGGCGGGCCTGGCCAGGGAGCCCAGCCATGGTGTGGGTGTGTGTAAATGGTGGGCAGTTTGTGGTATATCTGTGGTGTGTGTAGTGTGTGGTGGGTATGTGTGCCGGGGTGGCGTGCAGCCACCATGTGTGCGGTGTGTGCATGCGTATGTGCACCGTGGGGTGCCCGCATGGTCTCCCATCCCGCATGCGCCCTCACATACCCCAGGAGTTTCTTGTTGGAGAAGGAAAAGGAGAACTTGTCCTTGTTTCCAGCCATGGGCGGCTTCTCCAACTTCTGCTCCTCCTCCATCTTTAGTAAGGAATCAGGTTTGCTGTTCTAAAAGCAAGACCAGGGCAGTCCCTGAGCTGCCAGGGGTGTAGGGGACAAGAGCCTGACAGCAAAGCTCAGCTCCAGTGGCTGCCTGGGCCACCGTGGGGCCCTCAGGAGCCACACCACCCTCATCCTCAGTAGTGTCTGCAGCCCAGGCCTGGCAGGACTTCAGCCCCTGCCTGGGCCAGGAAGCACACCACAGAACAGACGGCAAAGGCAGCGAAGGGGAGTGCCATCGACACGGAGGGCAAAGTGCCTGGCCTCCCAAGTCCCAGACACCCCCAGCACCACCTCCGGGGACCCAGGCACCTCCCAGCACCACCCCCCAGGACCTAGGCACCCCTCCCCAGCACCATCTCCTCAGACACAGACACCCCTCAGCACTGCCTCCCAGGACCCAGGCACCCCTGCCCCCCAGCACCACCTCCCAGGATCCAGGCACCCCCCGGCACCACCTCCTGAGACACAGGCACCCCTCAGCACTGCCTCCCAGGACCCAGGCACCCCCCGGCACCACCTCCTGAGACACAGACACCCCTCAGCACTGCCTCCCAGGACCCAGGCACCCCCCAGCAACATCTCCTGAGACCCAGATACCCTCTGGCAACACCTCCTGGGACCCAGGCACCTCCCAGCACCACCTCCTGAGACACAGACACCCCCCAGCACCGCCTCCCAGGACCCAGGCACCCCCCGGCACCACCTCCCAGGACCCAGATACCCTCTGGCAACACCTCCTGGGACCCAGGCACCCCTCCCCCCCAGCACCACCTCCTGAGACACAGGCACGCCGCGCCCCCCCCCCCCAGCACTGCCTCCCAGGACCCAGGCACCCCTCCCCAGCACCACCTCCTGAGACACAGGCACATCCCCAGCACCACCTCCTGGGACCCAGATACCACCCAGCACCACCTCCCAGGACCCAGGCACCCCCACCCCTCCAGGACCACCTCCTGGGACTTGGGCACCCCGTGGTACAGCCTCCTGGGACCCAGATACCACCCAGCAACACCTCCCAGGACCCAGATATCCCCCTGGCGTCGCCTCCCGAGACACAGGCACCACCCCCTGCCAGCACCACTTCAAGACACAGACACTCCCTGGCAGCCTCGCCCGAGACCCAGGCACCCCTGCCCCCCAGCACTACCTCCTGGGACTTGGGCACCCCTCGGCACTGCCTCCCAGGACATAGGCACCCCCGAGCAATGCCTCCTGGGAACAAGCCTGCACATACACAGGGTCACATTGGTCACACACAGGCATGCGTGCCCACAGCTCACCTTGTACTTCCACTTGGCCTCCGACTTGCTCTTAGTCTGTTCTCGGATCTCCAGCCTCTCCACATCATTCTGCGTGTTGGCCATGTCCTTGTTGGGTACACTTAAGACGCTCTTCGTGGCCTGCGAAAGAGAGCAACAGTGACCCAAAGACAGACTCGGGAGGCAGACAGTACTCACCCAGCTGCTGCGCAAAGGCCTGGCCCACAGCCCCTGAGCACACCCACAGCTCATTCCAACATCCATTCATTCATCCAGCCCATCCATGTATCTAGCCATTCATTCACCTGTGCATCGATTCACCCATTTATTTTTTCAATCATCTATTCATTTATCCACTCATCTGTTCATCAGTTCATTTTTCTGTTCATCTGTGCATTCATTCTGCATTTGTCCATTGCTTTCACCATCCCCTTAATGACCCATGATTAATTTATCCATGCATTCACCGAGTCACCCATCTATTCCTGTGTTTGGCCATCTGCTCTTTCATGCTTGTCCTGAAAAAGGAACATGAATACATCCTTCTGCAGCACCAGCAGGCTGTCGGGTCCCAGGAAGCGGGCAGTAGCCGCCTTGTGCTGGACACCCACACTCAGTGCTGTTTCTCAGGGCTGAGTCTGCCTCTTTCACAGTCCAGAGGGATTTGGGTCACCAGGGCAACGCTGCCCTTGCCACTGTCCCCTCCGCGAGCATCCTTCCTCCCTGGCGCCCCTGCACAGACAGCTCACTCACCTTCAGACCCTGGAAAACCACTGTGCCCACTCTCCCAGGTGGCCCCTCTTGGGTGCTGCCTTCCTCTTGCCAGGGCCTTTGTAGGCTTCCTGGATTGAGCCTGCCCGCCAAGGCTCTGGGCTTAGATTGGAAGCAGGCAGGAGAGCTCTTCTACCAGGCAGACTATAACCGCAATAAGATCCCAGCACCTCAGGCTCTGCAGAGAGCTACATCCTGGTGCCCCCAGGTGTCCACCCCTCGCCCACCTTGCTCTTCTTGGGGGGCTCCATCTTGGTCAGTGCCTCCTTGGTGTGGGCCTCCAGCAGGTCCAGGTCAGGGATGGTGGGTGAGACAGACTCCCGGTTCCTCTTGCCTTTCTTCTTGCTTCCATCCTTGAGCTTCAGCGTTTTGGGGGGCTTGGGAGGCTTAGGGGACTTGGGGGGCTTGGGCATTTTGGACGGTTTAGGCATCTTCACAGTTTTGGGAGTCTTTTTTTTGGACACTTTCTCTAGGAGGGACCGAGGTGGGGTGGCTTCAATGGGAGATGGCGGCTCCTCCTTCTCTCGGTCACCATCACAGATCTCATCTGAAGAAGCTGCAGCATTCACTTCGGGCCGGACCGCCTTGGCAGCATTCTGGCAGGGGGAGAGGGGCAGAGAGCACGGAGTCACACAGAGTTGATGCCAGGAGTCTCACATCTGTCCAGGCCATCAAGTGACACACTCACTAAGTGTCCCTGTCACTAGCCCTGGGGTCCCCGACAGTCCACAGGCCCTCGTGTCCTTCCTGAGCACAGCAAACTGCAGGATTGGTCTAAGTTCATAAGAAACCAGACTCAAGGTGGTACATTCAGAGACTCCCAGTGCACCCCCAATCTCCCACTCCTTACATGTTCACTTTAGGAGACCTCAGCCAACGGGTATTAGCTCAGGGGGCTGAGCCTTCACACAGGTGAGCTCAAAAAAGCTCCAGAGGCATCTGGGATCTCTCAGGCATCCCTAAGCAGGCAGTTTAGGGCTGGGCTGGCTCCCAGGCCAGTGGCAGAGCAGGTGGGCTCCCTTGCTCCCAGGGGTGTAGCCGTACCTCGCTGAGCCGGATCTCTCTGGCCAGGTCCTTGATGAGCTGAGAGGGCCGGAAGTGCTCAGGAAGCTCGTCCTCGTGCTCCGCCAACGCCTGCATGATGGTGGGTAGGGTCAGTGCCTGCCCTGGCCCCCAAGCTTGCTGGTCACTCTCTACATCCCACCAGGCTAACCCCTACCTGCCCAGCCAGGGCACACAAACAGGCACTGGGCCAGAAGAGCCATGTGACAACCTAGATACACTGGGCCCTGGACCCCAGCCCCAACAAGAAGGCTCTACTGTGACCCCCAGCTCCCAGGTAGACATGCCTGGTCCTGGATGACAGGGCTCCCTGAAAGCCCCCCACCCGCCCCCTCACCCAGCAAGACACTGACTGGCTTCTGAGCTGGTGCATTGGCCGGCTCAGTGGGGAGATGAGGGGGTGGCCTGAGCCTTCCTGGCCAGAATCTGACACCTTGTCATGAGGCCAGCTGCTCCCCCAGGTCCACATCTAGCCGCTGTAGGCTCCAGGTTTCTCTGGGTTCACGCAGCGTAGTCCATGTCACAGCTGCCTACCCCTTATCTGCCTTCTCCTCCAGTAGGCCGAAGCGCTTTCATCTTCCTTCCATCCACTGGTAGCCAACACTGGGGCCCCACTGTAGGGGTTTTTTTCAACCACCAGCATCCCTGGTCTTCAAGATGGTGTCCCCACCCAAGGGTGTTAGTTACCATGCCTCCTACCTGCTTCTTTGTCCATGATCTGAAAGCACCATTGAGAATTTTAGCTCCTTGGACTAGATGAGGGGGCAGCTGTTTCCCAGATTTGTGAGAGCCTGGGGATGGAGAGAAGACGACTGTAAGTTACCTGAGAAGCCAGCCAGCCCCACCGCTCACTGCCCATCGCCTACAGACACCTTTGTACCCAATCCAGCAGCCAGCCAGGGACATGCAGGGCCCCCCATTGGGAGCCCTCAGCCACAAGCCACTTGCCCAACTGCCAACGGTTCCTCTTGGAACCTGGAGCATCCTGTGACTCACCCTGCCAGGGGAAGGACTGGTCTCCCCATGTCCACCCCTCACCACCAGCCTGCCCACTGTGCTCCTAACACAGGGCTGCCCCACAGCCCACAGCAAGGATCTCAAGGAGCCTTGCGATTTCCACCTCAGGACAGTGAGCTCAGGAACCAACTGCCACAGCTCAGCCAGATGGGGGTTCCTGCTGGGGCAGGGCCTCAGAGGCACTCTTAGGTCCCAGGATCAGGTCCTACTGCAAGACCCTGAGAGCCGAGGACCGATGCCACCAGGTGACCACAGCACCACCCTGGGGGGCCAACAGTGGTCAGAGGATTTTCCCAGGTACCAAGAGACCCACAATTTGGCTCCACCTTCCATCCACTAGTGCTCCTCATTTCTACCTCCTGACATCAGCCCCTCACAGCTGGGCTAGCCCCCTTCCTGCCAGCCAAACTCAGGGTTCCAACTTTGGGGGAGCAATGGACAGGTTCACCAATGCCTGGCTAGCCAAAGTGAAGTAAGATGGTTCTCAGCTTATCCCAGGCCACAGACTCAGCGCAAAATAGCCCAGATGACTCTTGGCTCATGGCCAGGATCAAAACAAGGGAAAAATGTGGCAGGGAGGGCATCATCAAAACAGAAACTGCACAGTGTGAACCCCTGCTCAGGCTTGCTCCCACAATGCCGCACGGCCAAGCCCTAAGCAGGGGGGATGATCACAGGATCCACTGGCTTTCAGTCTGCAGGGACAGTCCCAGAATACAGAGTCTAGGAGGGCCTGGACCTGCTGCTTAGCTGGACAGCAGGTGGAGAAGTCCCTGGGCTACTGCAGAGTAAGGAGGTCCCCACCCAATGGGGTGCTGTCTGTGACTTGGCCCAAACAGTAAGCTTCAGTGGCCCTCCACACCCGCTGCCACCGCTGCCCTGTAGTGACCAGTACCTTTGAATGCCTCCAGCAGATGCTTCCCCATGTACCAGCAGGCAGTCTCAAAGTTGGGAAACTGAGTCAGGCTTCCCAGTTTCAACCTCCGCTCCACTTCATATGCTCTGCAGGCCACAGCAAAGAACCACTCAGTACACTGTGCACCAAGCACATAGGTCCAGGCCACAGCCATGCCAACTCATGCCTCCCCACTGGGCCCTGCGTGGTGAGGTGGACCAGGGCAGAGAACACTTGGGACAGCCACCCTGGATGGTACCTGGGCTGTTAGGGGCCATGGTCAGAGCCCAGGACAGGCAGTGGCACCCTTGGGGGCAGCCTAGATGCAGCGACTTCAATGAGGCCATTCCACACCATGCCCCCCAGGAGCCTTGAGAGCCCCCACATGTTCCTTCCTCCCAGAGCAGCAGGAAGCTGGGTGAAGCTGGCTGTCACACCAGAGCCACCCACAGACTGGGCCACACTAGGACTCAGTTCACAACAAGTGGGCTGAAGGGGGAACCCCTCTTGCTGTGGGCACATGGAGCAAATGCACTACCTCATCTGCATCTCCACGCTCAGGCTGTGGAGGAAATGACCAGCGAAGGCCAGGCAGTCCACTGGGGTGAGCGTGGCATAAATCCAGCCTGGGAGAGAGAGACAGGGACACAGCTGGTCTCCACCCCCCAGGACATCCCCCAGAAGGCATTCTGTGGTGCAGCCCCCTCCCAGACTCCATGGGGAAAAGGACCCTGTCAGAGATGCTCTGGCCTCTTTGGTCCAGACCCGCACCACATGGATGGAGAGGCCAAGGCCTGGGAGCTGGCAGATGAGCTCAGCACCCCTGAGGATGATGCTCAAACCCAGCGAATGGACCCCGTCCCCATGCTGACCTGCACACATAAGGCTGAGGGAGCCAGGCTGGGGCCAGGCCACAGTTACACCCAAATCACTGTGATTACAGAGAAGCTGGGAAGAGAGGAAGGACAGAACCCAGGATCCCACTGAGATGCAGAGGTTTCTAAAGGAACTGAAATATCAGTGCCTCCTTGAAGTTCTGGCAATGAGGAAAAACAGACAAGAACTGGGCAATCTGAACCCAGCCTCGCTATTTGATGCCCTGGGGAGGGTGGTTAAATGTGTTATTATAAAAGGCAAGGTCTTGGAGACAGCAGAGTATACCCAGAGGGGCAACAGGTGGCTGAATTCACATGTTCAGAACAGGCTTTCTCCTATGCAGAGCCTAAAGGTTCCCCAACACGCAGTTCCAGCTCAGTGGACATCTGCGGCCCTTCCTCGAGCAGCCATGGCCACATAGACCTAGCCCAGCCACATCCATGGCAGTACCCTTGGCCATTAGCTGTCAAGGATGGCACTGGGACCTCCTGCTGCTGCAAGGTCCACTGCTGATCCCTGGGTCGGGCAATGGGTAGGACAGGGGTCAGTCCCAGGGAAAGGACAGGCAGGCCAGGGGCACCAGGCCAGAGCAGTAGTGGGGACAGAGCCACAACCGTGACAAGGGAGCCCTGAGCCCACACCACTCACCCGAGGGGATGAAGAGGGTTTGGCCTTGCTTGACAGTGCACCTGTAGCACTTGTCTACCTGGTCAGCAAAGAACATCTCACTGTGGTTTGAGGCTGACCGCCAGCGTTCATACAGGGAGATGTTGGCTGAGGCTGGCCGGATGAGATAGAAGATCTTCTCTCCCTGCCAAGAGAATCAATTAGCAGAGCCGCACACACGGGGTCCACTGTGTCCAGGGGCTGGGTCCTTCCTGGCTTGGCAAGCATCCCACCCGGGGCCCATCACGGCACCTGGGGCTTTGCAGTCCCCAAGAGTGCAGAATAGGAAATGCAGAGCAACACCCTCCGTTTCTCATAATGCCACAGCAGCACACGTGCACACACACCTGGGACTGGGGCCCATCTGCTATTGGGGTGGGCTCCAGGCAGCAGAGCCTGGGGCCAAGGTGAAGGGCAGATACTACCTTTCCCAAACAGGGCTTCTTCTACACAAACTGGGTTGAAGGTGGGCTCACAGGGCACAGTCCAGCACCTCAGCCTGCCTCTACCCTCCACCCAAGCTGCAGCTGGCTGGATAAAGCCATCTCGGGCCTTTGGCCAGTTGAGCTCCAAGCTTAGAGTTTATTCTGTGGTTCCTTATGCCTCATCTTTCTTTCAGCCACCTGATGTTTGCACATATACATACACACACACTTCCTCATGTCCTGCCCGCTGTCCCCAGGGCAGGGCCCCTTGCTGGCCCACCCCCCAGGACTGTCTGCCCCACAGCCCTCTCACTTCTCGGGCTGCACCCCCCGCCTGAAGCATCCCCATGGCCTCCTCTCCAGTGGCCCTCCTCAGGGTCATGCCAGACGGTGGCATGCAACAGGATGCAAGCCCCGAGAGGGAGGTCTGGGCTGGGGGGAGGGCTCACTTTGAGTACGTGGTGCCAGGCAGAAGCACCGCCAGAATCAATGTGGAAGTCGGTGTAGCCATCCTTCACGCAGATCAGACAGTACTTGGTCACTTTGGGCTTGGCCAGCAGTGCGTCGTCAGGCCAGTAGTTCTCCACCCAGGACAGCTTCTTCACAATGTCAGGCGGCTCCACAAAACTGGACATTCTGGGGCAGGAGGGAGGCAGGGTCAGCGGCAAGGGAGCCCACCTCTCCATGTCCATGGCCTCCAGGGAGGGGGAGAGGGAGGGGAGGGCACTCTGCCTTCCACTTCATCTCGCAGATGAGACAACTGAGGGTAGAAGGGATGGCTGTGAGGTGTGCATGGCAGCGGCTGTAGAGAGAGCTGAGAACCCACCACCCTGAGAGTACTCACCATACTGGGACTGGAAAGCCATTATCCAGGCCAGTCCAACCTGTGCCGATGGCCAGGGCCCTGGCTGTCACTGTCACTTCCCCACAGGCCCAGGCACCTCCTGGCGCCAGCTGAGCCAATGTTATGGCTCTTAGAGGGCCAATAGAGCACCAGTGGCTCCGTGCCATCTTGAGTCCTTGTCCAACCTGGCCAGCACACACCCAAGGGATACTGGGAAAGGTGACTGGTCTCTGCCAGGCACACATCACTGTCACAGATAAAATGCTTGAGGCCACATAGGAGATCTCTCTTAGGAATCCCCAGGAGGCTGCCTCCTGTGGTCCCAATCTCCAGCCCATTCCCCTTGTTGCCTTTGCTCTTGGGAAGCTCAAGCAGAATCCCACATCCAGCCAGACAGTCTCTCTGTGGCTTCTGCTGGAACTCTGTATTCTCTTTCCCAGGGGACCTCTGATCCCAGTCCCCTCCCGATCCACACACAAAGCATCTCACATGCTTCTAGAATGTGACAGGGGTGGGGATGACATTCCTAGACAGCCCTTAGGAGAGTGAAGCCAGCTGCAGGAGGCCTGGTAGACAGAGTAGGGACGTAAGAGGGCTGGGGTGGTGGGCTTCCAGGAGGAAACACAGTCCTGTGGCACAGGAGAAGAGGCTGGCATCCCACCTAATGAGGATGTCCCTGCCCACAGCGACCAGGAGCTGGTAGAAGCGCCTGGAACCCATGGGGTGACGTCATCAGGGCACAGCTGTGCCAAAGAGGAACCAGGCCTGGCCGGCAGTGAGGGCTGGGGCAGAGAAGGTCCCTTTAAGACCTCACATAAGAGACCGCACTTGTATGTGAGGGTGGCAGGAACACGGGAGTGTGGCATGGGGTATCAATGTGGGTGTACCCTGTGTGAGACACGTGGCACACCAGGGGAGTGTGACATGGGGTACTGATGCGCGTGTGTGCTGAACAGGTACCTATGGCAAGCAGTGACTGCATACTGCAGCCAGTGGTTCTCTCTAGGGTTGGCAGGTTACAGGCCAGGCGCTTCCACCCTTTTGCTCCCTATGTGATGTGTTCAGTGTGTGCCAGGCTCACTCCCGAGACCCCTGGCCAGGGAGGGGCCTGGAGCTGGCCTCCCCATGCCCCTTCCTTGCACCCCTGGCCCACAGCCCTGCACCTGGTATCGGAGAACTCGAGGTTGGTGACATTGAGCACACGCTTGCGGCTGGTGCTGTAGTAATAGTCCACGAACTCCTTCAGCTTCATCTTGCAGTCCTTCTGCTTGGTAACGTCCGTCACGTCCACGCTCCGCTCTGGGCCTAGGGAGGCGACACGGTGGCTGCTGAACACTCAGCTGGACAGCTGGGCCCCTACAAGGTGGGACCCGTGGGACAGACACGCACACACCCTCCACTGCCCTTCTGCTGGACCTGAGATGGGGGTGCTCAGGTCTGTCTCCCCCTGCCATGCTCCCTGAGCTGGACAGAGCCCTCTTCCTGAGACCAACGCCAGGCTTCTGCACGAGTGACTGGGTCGGCAGACAGGTATCCAAATGCCTGGTCAACAGGAAAAATACCCAGATGTCTCTACACTTGGAATGTTCAAGAGGATTTGTGACCAACCGAGGGGAAGTCAGGCTCAGTAAAGTGGCCCCGGGGCCACAGCCCTCAGCGGCCACCTGGACACAAGGTGAGAGGCCTCTGGAATTGCTATGGGCAGATGAGGGCAGTCATGAAGGGTGGTGGCAGGGGCAGCAGCTATAACTGTCCTCACAGACAGATGGTTCCCATACCCAGAGTGCCTGGATGTGGAAATTCCTCAGCACCCTTCTCATAGCAAGGCCTGGGGGTGTTGTGGGGCTATCTTAGGAGAGCAGAGGACTGGGAAGCTATGATAGGCATGTGTGTCTGCCTTAGAATCTGACTCCAACAGTGGAGCGCAAGGAAGCAGCACAAAAGCCACTGCAGAAAATCAGCCCGGTTTGAGACACCAGTGAGAGGCTGCCGCTTAGCCAGGGGACTGCAACCAACAGCAAGGTTGGCAGAAATCCAGTGACGGGGCCTGGCCTGGGGCTCACCTTCACGTGTCATTTTCTGTGTGTTTATTTCCATGTAAACGATAAAAAAGAGGAAAAAGAAAAACACAGAAGCAATAAATGCCTCTAAGAGCCATCTCTGGCCCCAATTCTACAGGGCCAGCAATGGAGGGTGGGTGACAGGGCCTACGCATCACCTAAGTGCCTGCAGCTTGTGGTGATCATCTCCTGGGGTCTCCCAGCACCAAGCGCAGGGGAGCCATGCATGAAGGGACAGACTAGAGCAAGGAGCCACCTGCTTGCAGGACTGCGGCCCGTGTGTGTCACCCCATCTATACCCTGGTCCTGAGCATTCGTCTTTCGAGGGTTTTTCCTGGTCTCTCCCCATAACACAGGCACCCCCACAAGCACCCAAGGCCCCATCACCACATGGGGCTTCAGAGCCCGGGCCATGCAACGAGCGGTTGGTGCCAGTGAGAATGCAGGCTGTACTGCTCCACCAACACTGGCTGCCTCTCAGGTGGCATCCAGTGCAGCCATGTGCCCCCACGCCCACGTGCCCATGCCTAGGTGCTGGGGACTTAGAGAGGCCATTCAATGGTGGCTGCTGGCGACCTCAGTGGGAACCAGAAGAGCCCAGGAGGTATCCCTGGCAGTGCAGGGAGGCAGGTGATGGTACAGCTGGGGAAGCACCACCAGCCACAGCAGGAAAGGACCTCACAACTCCAGGCAACCAGACATACCAGCATCAGGTGGCACCCAGCAGGAATGGAACTCATGGCCAGCAAGACCCAGGGGTCCCCGGCAAGGAGATGGGAGTTTTCCTGACATCTCTGATCTCAGAGCCCAGGATCTGGCCAACAGAATGCAGTGAGGGTCCCCAAGACTTACCAGCATGGACCCCACACAGCACTGCTGAGGGAATGACACTTACCCACGTAGTTCTCAACGTCGCTGACGTAGAAGGTGGGAGCAGGGACAGCCAAACCCAATCCATCTTTCTTGGGGACAAGGATGGGCTCGGTGAAGCCATGCTCCTCCAGGTAGCCCAGTGTGAGCTGGCCGCCTGGCACGCGGGCCACTACATCCTCCGCACTGTGGGAAAGGCGTGTGTCAGAGGCCAGCAGCGGGCCTCGGGGCAGCGGGGCAGGCCGGGCCGCATTCAGCCACACACCTCCTTGGCCACAGAGGAGGCCCAGTGGTGGCACTAAATGCATACGCTGACATGACCAGGCAGATAGGCCCCTTACTCACCCCTCCTGGGATGTCCCTGCCTGTGCTGCCCTGGTCCCACCTGACAAGGAGGGACTCCTAAATCAGCAGAGGGCACCCCCCAAACCGCATGGGTCCTGCATGATGCCACATGGGTGGGCCAGGCATACATGATACTCCCTGTCCATCTCTTTTTTGGCCTGGTGAACTAGAACGCCCTGCCGGCCTGCCTTGTGGCGGCATGCTTATCCTGGAGGAGGTGACTCAGGAGTGCTGGTCCTGCCCTGCCCCCTGCTGGACACTAACTCCACCTCAGGGCCAGAGGCAGAGAAAGGACTCACAGATGGAGGACATGAATGACCATCACCAGGCATGGACACATGCTGGCATCTTTCAGTGTGTGGGGGAGCCCCACCCCATAGAGCATGGTGTCTGTTCAGGTCACACACTGGATATGCCCTCAACCCCACCCCTGTCCAGAGGCCCTCGGAGCACCTGCAGTGAGTGACCCCTTCTGCCCAGCACTGTATTGGGCACTGCCCATTCTGGGTCTTGAAGGCACTTCTGTCTGGCAATAGTGGGGCAAGTCCTCCAACTGCAACTGAGCACATAGTTGGAGGCCAGCAAAAAATGGAAATCTAGTGGGATCCAGGGAGGAAGAGAAAGAGGAAGGTTGCAAAGCTTCAGCCTCTGGTAGAACAATGAAGAGCCCACTGTGCCCCCTGGGGGTCCTGGGAGCAGCAGGGCAGATCCCAAAGGCCAGGGTGACTGGAGGGCGAAGCTGAGGGCAGACTGTATGCCAGCAGCCGTGCAAGGATCCCATAAGCGAGGCATGGGACACCCTGGGGCCTCACAGCTGAGGCTCCCCATCCACACGGAGTCCTGCTTGAGGACCCCACCCCAGCTCAGGAAAGTCCTCCTGTAGGGACTCCTGGGGGCCTAGGACCCAGCTGCTACTGGAAAACATACCTCCTCCCCAGAGGAAGTGCATGCCAGAGGGAGTGCCAGGCCTGGAAGCAGACCCCCAGCACTGAGAACAGAAAGAGAAGTTTTCAGACACACATAACCAAGCACACGCAAAACTGTAACAAGATCAGGTCAGAAAAGGGAACAGAAGTACAGGAAAAGGTCAGACCACACTGAAAAGCAACCTCACAGCAATCCTAGGAAATGTGCTGTTTAAAATGTTAACACTCAACAACAAAATAGAGAGAGAAAGGAAGAAAGGAGGGAGGGAGGGAAGGAAGAGAGAGGGATGGAGGAAGAAAATATATTCTAGAATTATATCTGCAAACTACTGAATCTGTTAAAAAAAAAAACTATTAAAATCTTAAAATAAAAGCCCAATGATGAATTACATGGTAGTAGTTGCAAAGAAAGCAGTGAGTTTGAAAAAGATGTGTAAAATGATATCGGCAAGGTGGGAGAAATGCTAGGAAGGGAAGAGTTGAGGCCAGTATTGTGGTACAGTGTGATAAGCCACTATCCACAGTGCTGGCATCGCATATGAGCCCTGGTTCGAATACTGGCTGCACTGCTTCAGATCCAGCTTCTTGCTAACGCTCCTGGAAAACAGGAGAGGATGGACCAAGTCCTTGGGCTCCTGCACCCACAAGGGAGACCTAGAAGGGGCTCTGGGCTCCTGGCTTCAGCCTGGCCCAGCCCTGACTGCTGCAGCCATTTGGGAAGATAGAAGATCTATTTCTCCATCTCTATTCTGTCATTCTGCTTTTCAGATGAATAAAAGTCTCTAGGTAACAGAGAAAGGATATTTTTCAGAATACTAAGATACTTCTTCTCAACTCAGTGGAGCTTGCTAAATTCTGAGCAGCATAAAAAGATTCAAGCGCAAATGCAGACTCACGCAGGGCCTCAAAGACAAGAGGAAAGCCACAACTGTTGCCAGAGGGAGGGGAAAAAAAGCAAATTATCAGAAACAAACACAACCATGTAGTAGACAACAGACATGTCATCAGGTACAAAAGATTTTACTGAAAGAATAACTTTGAAGAGTCAAAGGAAAATAACCTTCATTCTAGAACTTTGGATGCCTTGTACACAATTTGAATTACCGAGGAATAAAGATGAAATGAAAACCCAGTCAAACAAAGGGCAAATACTTTCCATCGGCCTTGGCTGAAGGAAGTTCGAGAAGTGATTCAACAAGTAGGAAATCAAATCTAGAAAGAGCAGAACTCAGAACAGGACAAGAGCTGTCCTACAGATTCCACACACACCACCAGGATCCCAAGGGCCTACTCTGCAGAAACTGACCAAGCAAGCTTGGAACGCCACACAGAAATTCAAGGTGCCCATGTCACCAAAACAGTCTCTCAAAAGAACAAAGCTGGAAGACACTTTCGATGTTAAAATTCAATTCAGAGGGCCTGGCACGGTGGCCTAGTGGCCAAAGTCCTCGCCTTGAACATGTCAGGATCCCATATAGGCACTGGTTCTGACCCCGTCAGCTCGGGCCCGGCACGGTGGTGCAAGTGGTTAAGGTCCTCACCTTGCACGCCCGGGATCCCAAATGGGTGCCAGTTCTATCCCGACAGCCCCGCTTCCCATCCAGCTCCCTACCTGTGGCCCAGGAAAGCAGTTGAGGACCACCCAAAGCTTTGGGACCCTGCACCCGCGTGGGAGACCCAGAAGAAGTTCCTGGATCCTGGCTTCGGATCGGCATAGCATAGGCCGTTGCGCTCACTTGGGGAGTGAATCATTGGACGGAAGATCTTCCTCTCTGTCTCTCCTCTCTGTATATCTGCCTTTCCAATTAAAAATAATAATAATAAAAATAAATCTTAAAAAATAAATAAATAAAAATTAAAAAAATTAAAAATAATCCCGGCAGCTCCACTTCAAATTCAGCTCCCTGCTTGTGGCCTGGGAAAGCAGTTGAGGACGGCCCAAAGCCTTGGGACCCTGCACCTGCGTGGGAGACCTGGAGGAAGTTCCTGGCTCCTGGCTCTGGATCGGCAAAGCACTGGCTGTTGTGCTCACTTGAGGAATGAATCGTCAGATGGAAGATCTTCCTCTCTGTCTCCCCTCCTCTGTATATCTGACTTTGTAATAAAAATAAATAAATCTTTTAAAAAATTCATTTCAAAGTTACAATTACCAGACCCTGCAGCCCTTGGTAGAACAGACATAGAGAATAATGCAGAACAGAGGACAGGACAGAATAGAATAAGATGGGATAAGACAGGATAAGATGGGGTAAGACGGGATAAGATGGGATGGGATGGGATGGGATGGGATGGGATGGGATGGGATGGGATGGGATGGGATGGGATGGGATGGGATGGGATGGGATGGAATGGGATGGAATGGGATGGGATGGGATGGGATGGGGTGGGGTGGGATGGGATGGGATGTGGTAGGATGGGGTGGGATGAGATGAAATAAGATGGGATGGGGTGAGATGAGATGAGATGGAATGGGATTGGATGGGACGGGATGGGATGGGACGGGACAGAACAGCATGCCATAACACAGCATGGCATGGCATGGGAAAGGGAGTGCTTAGCCTAGCAGCTAAGATGCTCACATCCCACTGGAATACCTAGGCTTAATACTTTCTCTGGCCCCTGAATGAATCTGCTGATGTGGATCCTAGAAGCAATGGTGATGATGGCTCGAGTGCCTGATGGATCCTGGCTGCTGTGGGCATCTGGAGAGTGAACTCGTGGGTAGGAACTCTCTCTGCCTCTCAAATAACAAAAGAAGTTAGAATGGTGTCCAGAAGTAAGTCCTTATATGTATGGTCAGTTTTCACTGCAAGTGCACAAACACTTCAAGGAGAAATTCTCCCACATACAGGGCAAGGAAATGGGGTGCCCCTGCAAAAGAAAGGCAGAGGGCCCTTACCTCAACAACAAACAAAACTCAACTCAAAATGAGCAGAGGTCTAAACATAATGGCCAAGAATAAACAATAACAACAAGAAAAACTCTCAAAAAAGCATAAATCTTCACGATCCAGGGGTTAGCTAACTTCTTAGATATGCCACAAAAATCACCAGCAACAGAAGGAAAAGATATCTTGCATCCTCTCCAAAATTAACACTGTTCATGCAGTAAAGGACACCACCTAGAGGGCAAAATGGCCATCCGTAGGATGCAAGGATCTAAAAGCTCATTAAGAACGCTTTCAGGGCCCGGGGCGGTGGCGCAGTGGTTAAGGTCCTCGCCTTGCACGCCCGGGATCCCATATGGGCGCCGGTTCTAATCCCAGCAGCCCCACTTCCCATCCAGCTCCCTGCCTGTGGCCCGGGGAAAGCAGTCGAGGACAGCCCAAAGCTTTGGGACCCTGCACCCGTGTGAGAGACCTGGAAGAGGCTCCTGGCTTCGGATCGGCATAGCATAGGCCGTTGCGCTCACTTGGGGAGTGAATCATCGGACGGAAGATCTTCCTCTCTGTCTCTCCTCTCTGTATATCTGCCTTTCCAATAAAAATAAAATAAAATAAAAATCTTTAAAAAAAAAAAAAAAGAATGCTCTCAGCTATAAGGCACAGAACCTAATTAATACGAGAAGGCACCTGACCTCAGCGTGCATCTCCAACAAGTGGGATGCTCAGACATCATCACCCCCATCCTCACACCAGTGGAAGGGCTGAGCAAACGGAAAACCAGAAATTGAGGTCAGAAGGCAAACAACCACCCCCAGATGCAGCGGGGGGCAGGTGCATCTGCAAAATACAGTAAGTGGGGAAGCAGTCACCATACCCACCAGAGCAGCTGCCAGGGGAACTAACTGGCAGCCCCCAAAACAATAACCTTTAGGGTGTCCCTCCATAAACACAATCAGCTTCTTGTGCTGAAGGCCCCTCCCTGAATCAGGCATGGATGGGAGAAGGAGCCATTCTTTTTTTTTTTTTTAAAGATTTATTTTTATTATTTTTTTATTGGAAAGGTGGATATACAGAGAGGAGAGACAGAGAGGAAGATCTTCCGTCCGATGATTCACTCCCCAAGTGAGCGCAACGGGCCGATACTATGCCGATCCGAAGCCAGGAGCCTCTTCCGGGTCTCCCACGTGAGTGCAGGGTCCCACTGCCTTCCCAGGCCACGGGCAGGGAGCTGGAAGGGAAGCGGGGCTGCCGGGATTAGAACCGGCACCCATATGGGATCCCGGGCGTGCAAGGCGAGGACCTTTAACCACTGCGCCACTGCGCCAGGCCCGAAGGAGCCATTCTTAAGAACATCCAGAACACTCTCCACAGAAGTCTACGCTTCAGGAAAGCCACTAGACCCAACGTTTGTTTACCTGACAGAGAGGGCAATCAGCCACCTTGGGCCTGCCCCTTCCTGTCTTGGGTCAGGGAAGAAAATGAGGAGGCCAGCCTGTGCTCAGAAGGCCACAGCCCAGAGTTGTGCGTAGACTGCACTGGGTTCTAAAATTCCAGAACATATCACCTCTCATAATCTTAATCCCATGCCTCCGTGTACCAGCAGCAGGTTAGAACTGACAGTAAGACAGATGCTATCTATAAAAGAAGGATGCTTAGAGAGCCCAGAGGCAAACAGGAGAGAAAACAAACCAGGACACGATAAGACCAGTAGCTCCAGCTGTGGCAAATTTAACACAGCTCAGCGGCTAGCCAGATTAACATAAAAGCTCACCTTTAGGAAGCCTGGTTACCCAGTCTTTATTACCCAGTACATCACTTCCAGCTTTCAACAACACACATGAAACAAGATCACAGCCCAAAGAGACAAAGCAAGCGGCAGAGTCACATTCAGATATGGCACGGATTTTACGAAATTCTAAATAATCATGATTAACATGCTAGAAGCAGGAGCCGATGTCGTGGGGCAGTGATTTAAGCCACACTTGGGACAGCAGCATCCCATATGGGAGCCAGCGGAGTCCCGGCTGCTCCAGTTCCAATCCACCCCTTTGCTAATGCACTTGGGAAAGCATCAGAAGACGGCCCAAGTACTGGGACCGTGCCAAGTATGTGCGAGACCCAGACGGAATTCCTGGCTCCTGGCTTTAGCCTGGGCCATGCCTGACCATGGTACCATCTAGGGAATAAACTAGCAGATGGAAGACACATCTCTCTCTAATCCTGACTTTTAAGTAAAATAAATAAATCTGGGAGAAAAAAAAATAGAACACAAAGCAAGAGTTTGTGATATAGGAACTAAGAACCAAGCCCACTCTAGTACTTCAGTGAGGAGAGGCCACTGCAGACTTTCTTGCTGTGGGCAAGAATGCTGGCTGTCACCCTGCCAGCTCCCAGCTACAGCACTTCCTCCCTGGAGGCAGGACATTCCCTGACTGTTCCAGGAGATACACCTTGGATGAACACTGGAAAGCAGGTGGGAGCAGCCTCCCCCCACCAGTGGCACGGGGATAACTCTGGCTGGGCCCCCACGGTCCTCGCCCATGCCATCTTATCCTGGGGATTCTCATTACAGCAAAGAGCTAAGGAAACAGCAGTCACTGATTGCAAAGAGAGGAGCATAATCATCTCTTTGAAATTAATGTAATCTTACACCCAGAATTCTTGAGGAATTTGAGTATTCAGAAGTAAACACATACATCTATAGCCAATTAGATTTCAACAGGTGCCAAGATCTTCCAAGAAGGAAAGAACAGTCTTTTCAACATAAGTTGTTGGGACAAATAGATGGCCATATGCAAACAAAAAACAAAACAAAAAATACCAAAATACTCGTAATATGTTATTCAAAGAATAAACTTCAAGAATTTAGACTGTAATGAAACTACAGAGACTCATCTTCCTGATCCTGGATTTGGCGTAAGATTCTTGGATGCATGAACAAAAGGATGAGCAAAAAGAAAAAACAACCAATCTGGACTTCATTAGCTTAAAAATATTTCTGCTTCATGGAGTATATGCTCCGTGAAGAAGCAACCCACAGCCAGAGTGTGTAAACCACACATCTCTCTGATTCTGGACTAGTAGCTAGAATATAAAAAGGTTCTACAACCTAATGATTAAAAACAGGAAGAATAAAACAGGCAAAGGGCCTGACCTGACATTTTTCTAAGGAAAACATAAACAGACCCATAAGCACATGGAAAGAGTCTCCATCACTTTCATCACTAGGGAAGTGCACATTAGAACAGGAGTCCGTTTCCCATCCACTAGGATGGTCAGAATGCAGAGGCCAGCTAGGACCAGTGCTAGTGAGGATGTGGGGCAGCCGGGACCCCCAGGCACAGCTGCTGGCAGCACTGCCACACCCTGGCCCACCCAGACCCAGAACATGAACATGTACGTGGACACAGGCACAGCTACTCAGAGTGGAAACCACATGAATTCCTGTCACCTGCCGAATGGACAGAAGATTTGGCTGCTAAAGGAATAACACACGGACATAGGGATGAACCCTGAAAACTTCCTGCTGCCTGGAGGCAGCCGCCACAGCCTGCACAGTCCTGTTTGTCCACACCACTCAGGAGCAGCGTGTATCTTTACATACACGAGAAAGTGGGAAGGAGGGTGACACAGCAAAGGCGACAGGGCTTCTTGGCAGGATGAGAACATGTGAAAAGCGGTGTATCCACCAGTGACTGACCAAACGCCATGGAAATGTACACTTGGAAGGGGTGAGCTGTATGGTGGGTGAACTCTGTCTCAACGAAGATGCCAAAGGAAGGAGCTGGGAACAGGAAAAGAGCTTGTGCAGAGAGGAGCATCGTCTCAGAGTTCTCATGGAAAGTCACACAAGCCGGGAGGGAAGGAGGAAAGGGTATTTAAGCACCGCGAGACAAGCCCATGAACTTGGCAGGCCACAGCCAGGGAAGTGACACATCCACACACCCCACACACCCCACACACACACACACACACACACACACACACACACACACACACACACACACACACACACACACACACACACACACACACACACACACACACACACACACACTCTCTGCAGGAGAAATGCAGTCTCAAACTGAAGTTGTCTTGGCTGCACCAGTGAGAGGGCAGCTGCTTGTAACTGGCCTGTCTCACCTAGCGCTGCTCATTGCCCTCTGCTCTGCCCTCAAGCAGGATGATACTGCAGACAGCTGGGTTCAAAGAAGGCACAGGGAAACAGCAGGCAGGCAGGCTGGCAGGTGCTCCGGGGGCCAGGGGACCCTTCTTCCCGCAGAAAGCTTAGTCACCCACACTGGTGCCTCTACTCTTGGGAGAAGCTGGCGAAGGGCAGAGGGGCAGGGCCCCACCTGGGGAAGGTCCGGCTCCGCAGCTCCTTGATGAAGAGCTGGCTGCCATTCTGCACGGGCTTCACGTCAGGCGTGGGCCCAGGGCCGTGTTTGTGCCAGGTCCGCTTCTTCTTCACTGCAGAGTTGTCGGGAGGGAGACAGGAGGCATCTTGTCATGCTATGAAGCCCCTTCCCAGCTCCACCGCTCAGCCCTCCCACACACACCCTCAACCCCTCCAATGCCCTGATGACCGCCTCCCATCTCACTCACACACACACACACACACACACACACACACACACACACACACACACACACACGGAGAGGAACTCTAGCCTCAGGTCCCCTGCACATCCCATGCCTCCTGATGGCACCACCTCATGCCACTCCCTGACCCAAAAGCAGATGGGGTCTCCCAGGACCCTTCTCCATCCAGGCACCAATGTGCAGAGCTAACCCCAGGGGAAACTTCCTGGAAAGTGGGATGACACCCCCTGCCTGACTTCCCACTGCTTGCCCCACTTCCCCTTCCTGCTAGAATGAGGGGCAGGGGCAGGCTGCCCTCACTGCGTCCTCTGCCCTATCACCGCAGGGTGCACATCCCAGCACCTCTAGGCCAGCCCCTGCTCTCCCACCACCGCCACACATTTCCAAGGCCTTCCAGGGGACCGGGCATACCCACCCACCTTGGACATTCATACTCACGTGAGTACACACACGTACCCTTACCAGACTGTGCCGGGTGACACTGCACACACAGGCACATGTGCACAGGCACACGCCTCCACTGCACACTCACACGTGCCTGCACACAGTTACACACACGCCCACTAGACCATGGGCCAGGAAGACAGCAGCCTCATCCCCCACTCACTGCCACAACACCCACCCAGGTGCTTGTCCAGGGCAAACAAAGTAAGGGGGAGTGTGGGCAGCCGCTAGGGGAGGGGGGCTCCTGGCTGAGCCTGGCCCAGGCACAGCCTTGGGCTGTACAGATTGAACGCCAACAGCCCACACAATGCCTGCCCTTCCCAGAGCAGGATGGGCCGGGGCCACAGTCACAGAGGATCGGTGTCTCGATTCTCCTGACTCTCAGATGCTATGGAAACAAGAGGAGCTGAGGACCGCACAATGAAAATGACCATCCCCGAGCCAGACCTGCTGCTGCTGCAGCTCCAGTCAGGGCAGAGGCTAGTGCGACCGGACCTTGCTTGCAGGGATCCTTCACATTGTACTCAGTCTCCCTACCTCTGATATGCTACAGAAGCTTGGCCAGCTCCTGCGGTGTCAAAGCTGGAGGTAACCAAGCCACCTCCTGGCTGCACAACTGTGAGCAAGTTGCTGGGCATCTTTGCGCTTTATCTGAACAGAGGGATGCTCTTACTAGCCACTGAAGCGGCCAGACTGCCGCCAGAGCCATATTTCAGTGCCAGGATGGCCGCAGGGTTCCATCAAGCCACCTTGCCAGAGCTATGCCACCTAGTGAGGCAGGTGCTCAGCCAGGGCTGGCAGCCCACAACAAGCTCTCAGCTTCCTTCTGTAACCCCCATCCCTGGTGCCAGAATGAACCACTGTGGGCACAGAAAGGCCATTTGTGAATGGACAGGGTCTCACAGAGGATTCTACAAGGGGAGGGATGTGTCTGTCCTCTACACCAACACAAACAGAAGGACTCAATTTATCCCATGCCCATCCTTACCCTGTGTCTGCCTGAGCCACACCGTGCAAGGGCCACAGGCCACACCAACCTACTCCTCCACTCCTTACCATCTTCCTGTGTATCATTCATTAGCAAACACCCACCAAGAGGCTGGGCGCTGGTCAGATGCCACCCTGGAGCCTGTTCTTCAGGAGCTCATACACACAGGGGTCAGCCAGATCCTGCTGTGCGAGCAAGGAGCCAGAGACATGGGTGAGTTCCAGGGGAGCCTCTGGTGTGTGCAGGGATTTGAGGGGACGAGGACAAGACAGAGATCCAGGATGCAGCACGCCCATGTGGCACTGGACAGCAGGGATGCTGCAACTAGGAGAGGCCATGAGACAGAGGCAATGGAGACCCCAGAGGAGTGCAGGGCCCTAAAGGCTGCGCAGGAGAACAGCCACATATACCCAGGGGCCCAAGAGGAAGGCAGGGTGGGGGCCTGTGTCCAGAAGCCCCTGCCCCGGGTGCACCTGTCTTCCCTTACTAACCTCTCCACTGACAGAGAGCTGAGACTGAGCCAGTGACATGGCCCCAGGCCCAGGTATCCATGGAAGGTAAACAGATAGCCATGGACACAGACAGCCCTGCCATGGCCCAGGAGGTCACAGGGAAAGGTGAGTTGGCAGGATCACCCAGCTGAGGGACAGCTGGTACATTAGAGTCTCACCCTAAGGCCTTGGGGGACCCTCTCCAAGTGGCTGCATATGGCGTGGGGTTCTCACTGTCTTAGCCCAGGCCTGCTGGGTGGGATGCGGAGTGTGTCTGCAGCTCCGTGACGTCACACAACCACACATGCGAGTCACTGCTGACGTGGGTGTGCCTGCTCCTCCTGTGCCCTCAGCTCACAGGGGACCTTGACCCAGGGCCTGACCTGTGTCAGGAATGTTAACCATGGCCCATGGGTGACAGTCCAAAACTACTCCAGGGACACGGGAGGAGTGGAGAAGGATCTACAGTCCTCATGTGCAGCCTCGCTAAAGAGTGGAACCACAAGGACAGACTGCAAGTCAACTCTGTTCCCTTTCCCGGCTCCTGTCCTGCTGTGAGCCCCATCCCAAGCCAGGGCCACAAAGGCAGAAGGGGGAAGAGGCAGCCTTGAGACCAACTCCCCAACTCATGGCACAGGCCATGGCTACAGCATCACCTGTCACCAAGATGCCCAGAGCAGAAGGCATGACTTGGTGTCAGAAACAGACAGATCACAGTGCTGGCTCACTGCAGCAGGGGCTAGAATCACGCACCTCTGTCCCCGGTAGAGCACACACTCTCCAGCAGCAGAGTGTGACGCACAAAGGGTGCCCAGCATGTTTGGCATTCCCCCTATATATACATGCGCACACACTCACACACACACACACAAGGTCTTCAAAATATTCATGGAAAGTACACATCATGGAAAAAACATGCAATAATTTCAAACATTTTTAGAAATAAACTCATCTTTTAATTGCATTTCCATGAACTCTTTCGTGTGCCCTTGTCTATGCAGGCCTATGGGCACGGATGAACAATGTGCAAACACGTACACATGCATACACAGCCAGATTGAGGCAGAGGGGCCTCGCAGCAGCAGCCCCTTCATCTGCTGCTCTAAAGCATCAGTCCCAGGGTAGGGGCTAGTACAGGGAAGGGGTGCACTTGGCTCTGCACTCCCTAGTGCAGGCAGGTCTGGGTGAGGCCCATGTACTTCCACAATTACATGAAGGTTTCTGAGAACCATGGAGCTGCTGGAGAAATCAAGCTGTGTGCTCATTCCCAGATGTGACCAGATCAGTCTCACCCTGGCAGGGTCATGCCAGCAACCACCTGCGGTGGGGTGGGGAGGAGGGAGGCTCCCCAGGCCCCCAGCAGCATCCTAGGCCCCTGAGAAAGCTCATTCCTGCTGAGGCGACAAGGAGGTCCTAAGTTCTCCAGTTAGATACCACAAGGTGTCAGGAATGCCCAGTGAGCCACCAGGCTGATCCTTCCTGCCAGCCCAAAGATGCTACTGGCTCGCGTTGAGGGCAACATTCTGAACAAATGCTACCAACTATGGCACCCAGGGCAGCAGGGTGGTTCAGGAACATGAACCCTCTCCGGGTTTGATGATCTGGAAGGGGCTACCAGCATTGTAGCCTTCTCCCACCCCTGTGTGCTGAGCTGCTGGTGAAGTGGAGCGGAGCAGGGGATGATATCAGAAACAAATGCAGCCCCCACAGTCCTGTGGTTGAACACAGGTCAGGCACAAGGTACTCAGGCCTTGAAGCAGCAAAGAGAAAAGGCAGTGAGACCTCCAAGGTAGAAAGAGCTTTCCTTCCAGGGCTAGCTTCATGAGGCAATAGCCCACAAAACTAAGGCACTGGGACCTTATCTGCTATTTGCCCTCTCCCCTCCCCTGATGAAGCCATGGGCTCACCCCACAGGGACTGAGGGGGCCAGCCCCAGGCTTGTGACCAGGCACCAGGAAGGGTGGGAAGTGGGACACCCAGGGAGTAGTGCAGAGTGGTCGTGCTGAAGCCAGAGGTGGCTGCCTCCCCGTCCTCAGCCTAGCAGCCCCAGGGACACACCAGCTAATAGCTTCAGTGAATGCCCAGACCCCCACTGAGATCAGCAGCCAACGGCTGCACTAACACACACCAGTAACACACTCCGACACATGCTAGTGCACACCACACACACACGGAGGCCAGGCACTGCTCCCCACTAGCAACTTGGTACCCAAAGCCCAGGATGCTCCAGCCCCATCCCCCCGCCAGCAGGTGTCACGGGACGCAAGAAGGATGGGGGAGAAGTGAGGGGAAGACATACAAACAGCAGGGGAAGTGGAAAAGGCAGGGTCCCTAAGAATCCCTGCGGGGCGGGGGCAGGGAGAAAACACACTGGCACTCACCTGTAGACGGCAGTGGCCAGCTAAGCTGGGAGCCCTGAACAGCACCTGCCTTTGCATTCACCAGGTCACTTCATCCACGCCCCTGGCTCAGGCCACAAGCTGAGCGTGTGACCCTCGTCCCCAAGCTTTGAAGCCATGGGATTGTACAAGGTTGCCCTGGAGGACTCAGGCTGACCAGGAAGGATCCCAGCAGCTACAAGCAGCAGTAGCCCTGGCTGCAGGCCCTGGAATCCCACCCTGCATGCAGCCTGAGTGGGCAGAGGTGCCCCAGCAGGAACGGGGCAGCCATGTCCGTCATGGTACTTACAGGTGGACTTCCCGTGGGTTTTCTCACAATTTGGGCAGTGATAGATGTCGATGTCGGGCGCCTCCTCCTCTTCCACCCCAACACAGCTGAAACGGCAGCAAACACACCATCACCTGCGGTTCCACAATGCTCAGGTGCCTTCAATCCGCCAAACTGCACCTGGGGCTCTGCCAGCTGCAGCAGATTTGTGTGGGGACAGAGCCGCCTGCACAGCCACCATGAGGACCCCCAGCGCCTCCCCGAGGAGCCACCCACTGGGCCGTACTCCAGCCACCATTCAGTTCTGCTTCAGAGTTCAGGGCAAGGCCCAGGTCTGGGGCCTCCTCCCTGCCTGGGGTTCCTCCAAGCCCCTGCAATCCTGTTCAAAGGGGCAGGCCCAAGAGGACTCAGACACAGGCCCAAGATCATTTTAGGGAAGAGGACGGCCAGTACCCAGGGCTGTGCCCTAAGACATTAACAGATTTCCACCAAGTCAGAGCCAGCAGAATGCCAGTCCTCATGCCCTCTGTGGGTTGTTTTTTTTTGGGGGGGGGTGTTTTTGTTTTCTGTGGTTTTTTTTTTTTTTTTTTGGCTGAAAGCTGCAAGATATAAAACTCACTTATGAGAACACAGATCCCAGTGGACAGGGGGCAGGCCCAGGAGCAGGCAACTCTCATTAAAAAATACAGGGGAGGAACTGGGTAATCCTTCCTCACCTTCCTCTGGCGAGCACATACGAGTAAATAAAACCAGCTAGTGCATTTAAAAATACATGTCCCCCCAGGCCGGATCCAGATTTCCTAAGTAGGAGGGGCTTGGGCCAGCAAGCTACCTGGAAGCTGCAGATGTGCCCTGAGTGGACTGCTGCTACTTAGGACAAGCATACAAAGCCATGAAAAAGTCAAATTTCCAAAACTGTTTTTCATCACACTGAGTATTTGTTTTCTTTCTCATCTGGGAGCTCAAAGAGGGGCTGACATTGATTTAACACCTCTGGTAACTGAGGAGGGATTCTTTTTGAGACACACTAAAATGCAAAGGTAAGGCAGCTGGGAAACAGGGACAGGATGTCTCCATCCAGACAGGGCATGGCCAGAGGCTGGTCAGGAGCCCAGGCACCCGGGGCCTGCCACACAGCACACCCACTCAACAAAGACAGAGAAAATTCTTCAGTAGAGAGTGTGTGCTGGAAGGATGCCTGTCTGCCCCCTTTCTATCAGGACGCTGAAATATGCATGCAGGGAGAGCAGCAACGGGTCTTCCTATTGTCCCTCCCTGTAATGACACTGTCAGCAGCCACAGATAAGTCACCAGCAGGTGCGATGCACCGACACGGGGAGCAGAGCCAGAGGTGACACCAGAACATGGGCAACTGACTCAGCCACGTTAGGGTGGGAGAGGGTGATGGTTTTCCCCTTTGAGTGGCCTGAACTTGAACTATTCTGGAAGGAGCAAATTACATGCAGATGCTAGGCTCAACCTGACATCTGTCTTCACGACAGGCATATCAGAGAATCAGTCAAGCCCAAAGCTGGTTCTGACCTCAACCAGTCTGATCAGGAAAATCAGAGAGGACACCCAAATTGCTAAAATCAGACATGAAATAAAGGACATTGCTACTGAGCCTAATACGAACTGGACAAATTCCTAGACGCATAGGAACTATCAAAGTGACCCAAAGACAGAAAGGAAAACCGAGCAGATCAATAATAAGAGATTGACTCAATAATAAAATACTTCCCCCAAATTAAAGCCCTAGAACCACCACTAGTGAAAGCCATCAATGTTTTTCCTTAAATATTTACTTTCTGATTTGAAAATTAGAATTACAGAGAGAGAAGAGACAGAGAAATCTTCCATCCGCTGGTCTACTCCCCAAATGGCTGCAACAACTAGGACTGGGCCAGTCTGAAACTAGGAGCCAGGAGCTTCTTCTGGAGCTATCCCATGTGGGTGCCAGGAGCTTCTTCTGGGTTTCCCATGTGGGTGCGAGAGCCCAAGCACTTGAGCCGTTCCCTGTTGCTTTCTCAGGCACATAAGCAGTGAGCTGGATTAGAAATGACTCAAATTGGCATCACAGGTGATGGCCTAACTTGTTATATTACAATGTCAGTCCTAAACTCTATCAAAATGTTAAATAGAGCCCAGTGTGGTAGCTTAGTGGCTAAAATCCTCACCTCACACATCCCGGGACCCCATATGGACACCTGATATAATCCCGGCAGCCCTGCTTCCCATCCAGCTCCCTGCTTGTGACCTGGAAAAGCAGTCGAGGACAGGTCAAAGCCTTGGGACCCTGCACCCGGGTGGGAGACCTGGAAGAGACTCTGGGCTCCTGGCTTCGGATTGGCGCCATTGCAGCCACTTGAGGAGTGAATCAACTGATGCAAGCTCTTCCTCTCTGTCTATCTGACTTCTCAATAAAAATGAAATACATCTTTTAAAAAAAAAGTGTTACATAACACCAATCCTCAAACCCATCCAGAAAATAACGAGGAAGAAAACTTCCTGGAGGTCAGCATCACCTAATTTCCAAGCTAGAAAAGATAACCACAGGGAATAATGATGCAAAAATTCTTGACAACATACTAAAAAACCTAGTCCAGCAGCGTAGTAAGGCGATCGCGCCCCGCATGGCCCAGCAGCATGGATCACAGACGGGCATACCAGGGTATCTCAATAAGCAAAAACAAGCCATGGCTTCCCATCCTGGAACCTCTGGTGGCAAGGGAAGGATGCACTCCTGGGGCTGGAGGCTGGGGAAGACAGAAGGCACGCTTCTCTCCCTCAGTTCACAGGTCACGGCCATGAAGGGTGGAAGAGGACAAGGAAGACAGCGGCTGCCCCGGCCCTTTCTCCCGCATTGACACAGCTCCTCACTGCATCCCTCTGTTCCTGTATCTCCCATTCCCTTCCCAACCCTCCTCCTAGGAGGCACCATACCACATTAATTCAATGAATGAAAACTCCCACATGTCCTTCTTGGTGGACACAAAGCCTTTAACACACTCTCACACCCCGTCATGACAAAGGCATTGCACAAACTAGAAATAGAAGAGAATGTTTTCAGCATGATGAAGGCCATATGTGCATAGGAAAGACCCACAGCTAACGGCATACGCAATGGGGAAAGAAGGAAAGCTTTTCCCTCAGGATCACCAGTTGGCCAGGAGTCTTGCTGTTGCAACTTACATTCCACGCAGTATTGGAATTTCAGCCAAAGCAATCAGACAAAGGGATAAAGTCAAAGGCACTCCAATTAGAAAGGAATAAGTAAAATGATCTTCGTCTGCCCATGGCACATCCTCTATTTTAAAGATCCTACAGAATCTGCACAGAAAAGACTTGCTAATTCTAACAAATAAATGCACACTGGGTAGAGTGCAACATCAATACCCCAAAAAACAATTGTATTTTTATGTACTAGCAACGAGTACTCTGAAAATGAAATCAAGAAAGACATTACAAGAGCAACCCAGAAAACCAGCAGATTCAAGATTGCCACTCTGCTGAAACAAAGTTAACAGATGGAAAACATACCCTGGACCTGGATTGGAACACTTAACAGTGTTAAATCCTAGTTCTCCCAGATCAACCTATGGATTCAATGTAATCACTATAAAATCCTCAACACCTTTGTTCACGGACATGGAAAAGCTGACTTTCAAATTATAAGTAAGTAATTGCAAGGGATTCCCACGCAAATTTCAAAAGGAAAAATAAGAAAATTTCTACCTTTCAGTTTCAAAACTTTCTACAAAGCTACAGTAATCAAAGCAGTGTAGCACCGAGGCTGGCACTGTGGTATACAGACTGAGACCCTGCTTGTGGCATCAGCAACCCATTTGGGCACCAGTTCAAGTCCCTGTGGCTCCACTTTCAAGAGCCGCAAGAGATGGCCCAAATCCTTAGCCCCTGCACTCATGTGGAAAACATGGAAAAATCTACTGGCTTCAGACCCATCTAGCACTGGCCATTGCAGCCATTTAGGGAGTGAACCAGCAGGTGCAAGATCTTTCTCTCTCTCTCTTTCCTTCTCTCTCTGTAACTCTGCCCTTCTAATAAGATAAACAAATAAATAAATCCTTAAAAATAAAAGTGTGGCACTGCCCTATAGACATATGGGTCAATGAAATGGATGAGATTACAGAAATAAACCCATACTTCAAAGACCAATTAATTTTATTATTTTTAAAGATTTATTTTTTTATTAAAAAGGCAGATTCACAGAAAGATGAAGAGACAAAGATCTCCCATCCACTGATTCGCTCCTCAAAGGACCACAATAGCCAAAGCTGACTGGATCTGAAGCCTGGAGCCAGGAGGTTCTTCCGGGTCTCCCATGCAGAAGCAGGGTCCCAAGGCTTTGGGCCATCTTCCATTGCTTTCCCAGGCCACAGCAGGGAGCTGGATGTGAAGTAAAACAGCCAGGACACAAGCTGGCCTCTATATGGGATGCTGGTGCTTGCAGGTAAAAGATTAGCCAGTTGAACCATTGTAACAACCCCAACCAATTAAAATTTGACTGAGGTTGCAAGACCATATAACAAGAAAAGAATAATTTCTTCAATAAGTGGTGCTGAGACAAGTGACTAATCACAGGAAAAGAATAAAGTTGGATACTTGATTCACACCCTATATAAAAGTTAACTGAATATGGATCAACAGCCTACACATAAGACCTAAAATTATAAAACATTCAGAAGAAAACTTGGAGAAAAATTTTCATGAACTTGAATTTGTCAGTTGGGTCCTAGATAGCACAGCAAAAGCATGAGAAACCAAAAAAGAAATAAAGAAGGAACGAGATAAACCAGACTCCATCAAATTCAAAAATTTTTGCCTTAAAGAACACTAACAACAGAGTTAAAGCAGCAACTAAAAAAATGAGACAAAATATTTGCAAAACACATATCTTATAAGGGTCTAGACTATATAAATGAGTACAACTCAACAATAAAAGACAATCCGATTTAAACAATGGGCAAACAACTTGAACTGACACTTTCCCAGATATGCAAATGGCTAACAAGCACAAAACCAAAACTACAGTCAGCTACAATCTTACCCCGCCATTTTATTAAAAAGAAAAGCATCAGGGACAAGA